TCTTCCCAACAGTTTCACTGACATCTACACTGGATGGTCAGGAAGCGTTCGCGATGTCTTCTCCGGCGCTGATAATTGGCGTCTGTCTTGTGTCAGTGACGTAAAAGACGGATTTAATGCGACATGACCGTTCACACAGCAGTCGCTTTCTGAAACATCGGATATGTATCGGATTCAGCACCACATACGAAAGTGACCCAGATCGGATGTGAAAATATCGGATTTGTGCCGTTCACACTGTCAGATCATGATCGGATATGGGTTGCAAAGGGTCAAAAAAATCGGATTTGATGCGCTTTCGCCTGCAGTGTGAACGTAGCCTTAGACTACCCATGATTATCAATCATGTGAGCCACATGACTAAACACATTGAACATGGGAACACAAGACCTCTTCAAAATAAAAAAGGAAACATAATGAGACGCAGACATGACAACAAGAACTTTGAAACACAAGACACGCAGACATGAAACATATGAAGAGGCTAGATAAAGTCATCAGGAAGGCCAGCTCTGTTCTGGGATGCACCCTGGATCCAGTGCAGGTGGCGGTAGACAGAAAGACTGGCCAAAATAACATCTCTGATGGACAGAGTCTCCCACCCCGTGCATGTAAATGTTGCTGAACTGCAGAGCTCCTTCAGTGACAGACTGCTGAATCCTCGATGCATGAAGGAGCGTACTCTGCTTTGGTAACTATTGTCCATGGTGTAAATATGTAAAAATTGTGTTTCTGGTCTGTGTCTTGTTCTGTTTGTATATGTGTGTTTTTGCTGCTGATAGAATCAAATTTTCCCTTGTGGGGCAATTAAAGGATTATTCTATTCTATTCTTTTCTATTTTATTCTATTTTTGTCACGGTTCTATATGAATGGCGAGGGAGACTAAAACACAGGCGTTGAAGACAAATGGTGAATCTAATAAACAAAGAACTATAATAACTACCTAGGCATAATAGAAATGAACTTAGAAAACCTAAAGCACTAAACATAAACCATAAATATCAAAATAAACTAAAGCTCAAAACTCTGGGTCAAAAGACCCAGGATCGTGATATATGTAGCCCAATAAAAATAAAATTAAGAAAGCTGTGCAAAATGAGGTCAATCAGATAGATATACAAGTCTAACGTAAGTCTATTTATTAGAAATACTCAAATTGTTATATACTATATTTGGAAGCAGCCCGCTTCCCCTCCCCTTTTGACAAGTTGTGTGTGCTGCACAGCAGCAGCAAGAAGCAGGCACACCGAGAGCCGTCGCACTCAATCGCATGTGTGCGTGATCGAATTTAGAAAATACATTGATGCAAATTATAAATCTATAACCTGATGTCTGGTCCTTTTGTGTTTGTTGTTTTGTTTTTATTTTGTTTTACTGATACCGCTCCAGCCAACCAGAGAACCCCCCACCGCCCCACCCTCTCCTCCCTGTGCGGCAAGCAGCAGGCGCACATTGCAAACAGAGGGTGCCCTCACTCACAGCAAATGGGCAATACAAAACTGACCGTTGGATATGCAATCACAAAAATGCACTAGCATGATACCGGGGCAGCATGAGTGCAAGCAACTTTTTTGCCCACGATGCCGCCCTGGGCAATGGCCCATGTTGCCCATATCAAAAACCGCCATTGCGTAACACTATGCAACATATTAAGTTCCTGAATTTATATTCTCTGTTAATTGTTGCTAGGTTCAAAAAGTTAATGCTAGCTTATTTTAATAAACAACATTGTCATATGCAAAACTAGCTTTGCAGGGTGGCAGGAGGGTGGCAGTAGATTAGTTTAGTGTGACTCATTCCACCACATCTGCCCCTGCTTCTTTGAAATATTCAGACAGTAAGTATAAATTAATACTTGCAATGTCTTGAAAGCTCATCAATAAAATAAAATGATCTGAATATCAGTTAACAGAAATAGAGAACGAGTCTGCTGAACTGCAAGTAAGGATTCGGGAAGTAATGGTGGAGATTTCAAGATCCAGGAGTCAGTCATATTTGCAATGGCTGAGAGATGCTAGGAAGATGCAAGATAACTTGACCAGACTGCAAAACGATGTGAGGACTACCATCAAAATTTTAAAAGGAAGGTCCATAAAGCAATTGCTGATGAGAAGTTACTTCAACAGGTCAACGTTGGTGCCCAAACAGGTAAATGTAATTATTATCCTATAACACTTATTTCTGTTTGTTTGTTTGTTTGTTATATTTAACTATTAGTGGCTGTTAACTTTCTTAATTGTTATTATATAAATTTATTTTCTTAATTCTTTTTGTTATCATTTTAAGGCACACCAAATGTTAACTTAATGAAATTAGTGGTTTAATGCATCTTGTATCTATGATTGGAAACACTATTATAAAACAGCTTAATTGTTCATTTATTAATTATATGAGAGCAATACAAAAATACATAGAAACTGTTAGAGAAAAGGACTATTCATAAATATTTCCAAAATGCTATACCCAGTATATGAAATCTAGGGGAAGAAAACTAGCAGACTAGGTAGTTATAAAATTTAATAGTTCTCAAATTTAATAGTTAAATTTATCAACATTGCACATCATACTCAAAACAGATGACGAGGAAAAACACAGAAAAACACAAAACCAACGTGAAATTTGATATGTTACTACAAAAGATGTTCATTAAAATATGACAAATTAACATCTGAAAAAAGCACAATGTGACTGAAAAGTCTCGTGTCCAAATAATGAACAAAACAAACAGGATCTCTCATTCTTTATTTTTTTTACAAACACTTCTCATAATGACTAACTACTCCTGAAATTTTAGAGATGTTAGCTCTTTATTCTGTAAATGTACAGGTGGGGAAGGGATTCTATCAGGCTAACTCTTCCACAATTTGTTCCACTGTCCAAATCATGGACAAACAGTATCCCTCATTCTTGTCTTTCAGCCAGGATAATGTGTTTTGCAAGAATAAAATAGACAGTTGTTTTTAGTGATCTACTTTTTGTTTCCAGCAGACATAGCTTTTGGCAATGTGCAGGAACGAGAGCAAATAGTATTTTTATAGGGCATCTGGAAATGAACGTAGAGCAGTTCACGTTGAGAAATCGTAAATGGCCTGTATTTGTATAGTGCTTTACTTAGTCCCTAAGGACCCCAAAGCGCTTTACACTACATTCAGTCATTCACCCATTCACACAAACATTCATACACTGGTGATTGCAAGCTACATTGTAGCCAAAGCTGCCCTGGGGCGCACTGACAGAAGGTGGTATATTGAGTGTTAAAGTTTATATGAATTGTTTCCAAAGACCTTAATATCCACTTATTCGGCAAAATGTCCTTGGTTTGTTGAAGTAATCCTGTCTGATGACACCTGCCCAGGACGTGCTCCTGACCAGTGTTAGGGAATAATGGAATACATGTACCGCCGTTACGTATTTAAAATACAAAATATGAGTAACTGTATTCCGTTACAGGTAACGTTTTAAAAGGTGGTATTCAGAATACAGTTACTTTGTTGAAATAAATGGATTACACTGCGGTACTTCCCTGTTTCATATTGTCGCGGGTCAGGACTGTTTGGGTTTTGTTTGACAGCTACGTTCTGTTGTTCCAGGCGGCAGCGTTACGGTTGCCATGGTTACAGGGTGACGCGTTCTCTCTCTGTGTTTCCTGGGTGAGAGAGCGCCTTTTTGTTGTTGTTGTGCTAAGCTAACAGGCAGAATGCTACAGGTATAGCTCTAAAGAAGCATCATGGGCAGTGTAGTCCGTGCTGCAGGGAGAATGGACTGCCATACCCGTTATGTGTCTGTGAGCGAGGAGGGAGAAAAAGGAAAAGTACGAGCTGTCATCGAGCAAAAACGGGAGCTGGAAGCATGTAAATAATAACCACTGCAGCCAAGAAGAGAGCCTGACGAGCCCAGTTGTAAGTAAGCTATTAAGACTCGACTGTACACCGTGTTCGTGTTTTCCTCCAAAAACAATAAGTTCTGTTGTAGCAGCCGTTCAATGCCTCTCTCTGTCTCTCGCAAGCAAAGTTGACCCAGACAACAAAGTAAAGCTATTTTTCGGCGACGAGCCGACAGAGACCCCACCGTATTAGTCAGAGGTCCCTTTACTATGGTTCGGAGCCGCGGACCTTCAGTAATAGTAATAAATCACAGCAATAGTACATTCATGTAGTTGTAAACAGCATGATAATATATTAAGTAATCCAAAGTATTCAGAATACGTTACTCTCATTGAGTAACGTAACGGAATACGTTACAGAATACATTTTGGGGCATGTATTGTAGCTGTGTGAAGGATCACAAAGCTCTCCAGAGAGTGATCCGTACAGCAGAATGCTGCTGCAGGATTGCTCTCCCCCCGCTTCAGGACACCTACACCAGGAGATGCCGGACTAGAGCAGCGCAGATACTGAAGGACCCGTCCCATCCTGGCAACAAACTGTTCCAACTTCTGCAATCTGGTAGAAGGTTCCGCATCTTTCAGGCAAGGACAGAGAGACTCAAGAGGAGCTTCTATCCCCAAGCCATCCGGGCCCTAAACACACACACCCGCCCTCTCACATCATCTATAATTGACTGAGACAGGACTCTTCCAAACACTCTAAACCAAGGCACAATGTACATTCCAAATTCCTTTAATTTTAAATATGTTTATATCACCTATTCTGTAAAATAGTCAAATGTCTATTCATATTAATGTACAGAATTCACCTGCTTGCTGCTACTACTGCACATTCACCCAATGTATATACTATTCTGTAATCTGTAATGGAATACATTTTAAAAGTAACCTTCCCAACACTGCTCCTGACGCAGGGGGGAAAAATTCAGTCTGTTACGGATTCAAATATTGGGGATGGATACAAGAGGAAAAACCAAAAGAACAACACTGGTCCGGCCGGGTTGAGTCAAACAATGATTTTAATGATCACACGCGTGGGAGATGGACACCGTACGCAGACAGCATCAGATCT